TCCCCTGCAGGCACCATGCAAGTCCAGAGTGCATACAGGCAGGCAAAACACACATACATAAATAAATAAAAAATGTTTTTAAAAGTTAAACATTTTCAATAGGCTTTCTGCAAAGGGAGAGGATAAAATAATGTTCTAATGCTCTTCTTGTGAGCAATTGGAAACACTGTGTTAAAATGTTAAGACATCTGTGTTTAAAAACCAACTTTTTTTAGGGGTAGGGGAGGGAGTTTGAGACAAGGTTTCTTTGTGTATCCCTGGCTATCCTGGAACTAGCTCCCAGAGATCCACCTTGTTGTAAGGAGGCCGTTTGTTTGTTTCCCCAGCCCTCCTGCAGCTCAGACCCATAATAACTACACAGAAACTATGTTATTTAAAACACTGCTTGGCCCATTAGCTCTAGCTTCTTATTGGCTAACTCTTACATATTAATTTAACCCATCTCCATTAATCTGTATATCGCCACTTGGCTGTGGCTTACTGGCTAACATTCTGGCGTCTCTCTGTCTCAGGTGGGGCTACATGGCTTCTCTCTAACTCCTCCTTCTTTCTCCCAGCATTCAGTTTAGTTTTCCCTGCCTACCTCTATTCCCTGCACAGGCCCAAGACAGTTTCTTTATTAATCAATGGTATCCCATACCTGCTTCTGCCTCCCTGATGCTGAAAATAAAGGCATGTGCCCAGCTTAAAAACCAACATTTACCTCTAGTGAGCAAATGTTGCTCATTAGGATGTGTGTGGTCAGAAGTGGCACATTCTTATATGAGGGTGCTTATATCCAGGCCCTTCTGAAGGTCTAAATGTCTCTACTTATGCAGGTTGTTGTTACTTGGAGGATGGGATCCCTTCTGCCAGTTGTCAGCTGCACTCAAAAACACAGCACAAGATTTCCCCCACATCCCACAGACTCCATGTCAGAAGCATTGCTAGGGTCATCACCCTGAGTACTTACTGTAGCACTGTGGCTCCACTCTTAAGGGAGTTTTTGTGGGCCGAGAGTCATCAGGCAAAATAGTCTTTCTTGTGGGAAGTGAGTTTTGGTTTCACGGCTCCCTTAGAGTCTGGAATGTGAGCCATTTGTAAAAAGGAAACAACCCTGAAATGTCGCATGCTTGCCTCAGTTATTTAAAATGCGTGGGATGCAGTTGTGGGCATTTCCTCTGGATGGACGGTTTCCTTTACCCCTGCTCTCTCTTTCCTTCCTCTAGGGCCCAGTTAGCCTGAGGTAGGGGTGGCTGCTGGGGTTCTGAAGCACACATTTTCAGGGATGAGCACAAGATGGAAATGGGAAGGCGGGAAAGAAGAGAAGCAAGGCAAGGCTTCAGAGGCCTCGTGGTCCAGGCCAGTAATCCCAGCTATGCAGGAGCCTGAGACAGGAAGCTCACAAATTCGAAACCAGCTGGTGTTCCTTACTGCTGTGGTTTGAATGACTGAGAGGTGTGTGGCTTTGTTGGAGGAAACGGAAGAGTATCGCTGGAGGTGGGCTTTAAAGTTTCAAAAGCCCACGCCAGGCCACGTGTCTCTCTGCCTGCTGCCTGTGGATGAGGATGCTCTCAGCTACCGCTCCAGCTCCATGCCTGTGTGCTTCCCATCATGATGATAATGGACCAAGCCTCTGAAACTGTAAACCAGCCCCCAATCAAATCATTTCTTCTGTGAAAGTTGCCTTGGTCGTGATGTTTCCACAGCAATAGGACAGTGACTAAGACCGTGGCTTTTATGGCTGTTCTTGCTATGCAACAGAAACGACTTGGGAGAGGAAAGGCTTATTCTGTCACACAGCTGAAAGTGATGTGGTTCGTCTCGTGGGGAAGGCATGCTGGCAGATGGTGCCAGTGTATAGCTGAGAATACTCCACGCCTCACATTCTGGTGGAATGCGGAGATTGGACAGGAAGCAGCAAACTGGACTTATCCCCTTCAAGTCCCATCCCCCAGTGACTCACTTTCTCCAGTGATGCTCCAATTCCTAAAGGTTCTACATCCTCCCGAAATGGCCCCACCCACTGGAGACCAACGTAGGTTGAAACAGATGTGTCTACAGAAAGATTTCACATTCACATCGTAATACTGAGCTATAAAGAGAGTTTAAGGCCAGCCAGGGTAACTTAATGAAACCCTGTTTCAAAAATATTTTTTTAAGCTAAAAAGGGGGTTTGTGGGAAACCCAAGAGGGTAAGTGTAGCCACCACGCCTCATCAGAGAAGTCTGTCTGTCTTGCAGTAAATGGAGGCCATCACAGACAACCCCAGCTGAACACAACTCAGAAATCGACTGATCATGGCGGGGGCGGGGTCATAGTCTAACAGATACATCTCCCTCACAGTTCCAACATCTATGGCTCAGGGAGCATCATGAAAGGACACAGAGAGATTGTAAGAGCCACAATACCAGAAAGTGTGCTCCTGTGAAACAGGCTCTTCTAGAATCCGCTGCGCAAACAGGACTGCGTCCACATCAATGCACAGGTGATTTAATGTGGAAGTGAAAAAATTTCACTGAGTCCCGGCCCTCAACAAAGAACTATAGACAATGATATATTGCTGGGATAAGGAGGATTAGCCTCTTCTAGGGATGAGCAACCTTACTGGTTGTCCAAAGCAGAGTGGTCAGCCCTCAAACCACAAATGCATGAAGAACAAAAACAGACTCCATAAGCTGTATTTATATTATTTGTGTACATACACACATGTATCTAATCAAAGAGAAGCAGGCTATCAGCTTGAGAGTTGGAGGAAATCTGGGAGGGGTATGAGACGATAGTTGGGAAGAGCTGACAGGAGGAAGCAAAGTGAGGTAATTCTATTTCAATTAAAAACACTTTAAAATGGGGGCTGTAGGGACAGTGGGGCTCTGGAGGATCTCAGAGCAAAGTGTTCACTGAGGACACACTGATACCAGAAAAAGGAAGAAGGAATAGTTTCAGGGCAATCGCCCTTACACGCTCAAAAGTCAAGATTAAAAGGGAGATATAAAGAGGAAGGCAGGACCCAGGAACAAGGGAATAGCCAGAGGCCTTTGGATTGGGAAACTGAGAGAGAAGTCACTGGGAAGACAGACTAGTAGAGACAGGAGACTATAGAAAGGATAATAGCTGAGCCTCATAGTGGACCACAAGATTACAGCTAGCATTCTCTATGTGCAGGAGCGATATTGGTGGATTCAATCAACCACAGCTGGTGAATACTCAGAAAGAAACTGTGTCTGTACTGAAAGTGCACAGCCTTAATTTTTCTTCTCATTATTCCCTGTACAATATAGTATATGATTTATAGCTCATTTACATTGCATTAAGCATTACCTAGTTACCTAGAAATATGCAAATACGGAACTCTTTTGTGCATACGTAAAAGATCTATATTTCCTTCTTACAGAGCTTTAGAAATATTTTATTTATTATCATTAATATTATCGTGTTTGTGCGTGTATGTAATGTGTGTGCATGAATGCATAGTCCGCATGCAGGGGTCTAGGCAAGTTAGCTCTTCCCTACTAACTTGGTTTCCAGGGATGGGACTTGGGTCATCAGGCTTGGCAGCAAATGCTTTTACCCACCAAGCCCTATCTCTGGAGTAAGGCTTTGCTTTGAGTCATTATTACAGTTGTATGCAGGGTAGCCTTCCAGGACACAAGACCTGTGTAGTCATTTGACTCCATGCTTAAGAAGATGCCACACTTGGTTTAACGCCTCCTGTTCCCTCTCCTGAGACATGTCATTTCATACTGGAGCCTGAATGCTAAGAAACTTGTCCTAGTTGGTGAGAGAAGAAGCACAGGAGCATCCTACATCCCCATTCTTAAATCAAGACATCAAAGCCAAAACAGGCTAAAGTCTTCCCCAACCTACTACTCATAAGGACCTAAAATTCCAGCTCCTCGACTCGCAGCTCCAAAACCAGCATTTGGTCTGATTCATCACTGCTAAGTCCGTCTTTGTGTGCTCACATACCTGACATCAGGAACTGCTCCACCCTCCCCGTCATGAGCCCCTCACCCTGTTTGTATCACACAATATACCCCCACTGGCGAGAGCTGATACCCAGGCTGGACTGGGTGTCTTTCCTGAGAATCTAGAGTTGGCACCTAAGGTGACAATAACAGATGGGACCAGAATGACCCAACTGGAGGAGGAGCTTGGGCAGAGCAATTCTGGTTCCCGTGTGATCAGATAAGAAGAATCCAGCTGCATCTTCCACTCTTCCCCATCACATGGTCAAGAGATAGTCATCAGAAAGATTAGGGACACTACCTCACCTGACCTCACCTCCCATGAAAACCTGTCAGACTTGCTGGACATAAACATTACCTGAGACCAGAGAGTCCTGGCCTGGCTGACATTTTTTTGTGTGTGTGTGTGTGTGTTTCGAGACAGGGTTTCTTTGTAGCTTTGCAGCCTGTCCTGAAACTAGCTCTTGTAGACCAGGCTGGCCTTGAACTCACAGAGATCTGCCTGTCTCTGCCTCCAGAGTGCTGGGATTAAAGGCGTGCGCCACCGCCGCCCAGTGCTGACATCACTTCTTACACTGCTGCTCTAGCATGATCTCCAGCTCCCAAGTGGAGCTTCCCCTAGGCCTCGTGCTCTTTTAAATGCTTCACTTTATTTAATTATCCCAACAATACTACGAGTCATCCACATATCATCATCCAAGGTGTGGAGTAGAAAAGCGAGGCACAGAGGGATTATACAACACACCCAAAGTCACACAGTATGTGGGAGAGCTTGGGTTTGAACCCAGAAGACACTGGCTGCAGAATCTGGGTTCTTAACCCTCACAAAGTGCCTTTCCAAGGTGTTGCACCGTACATAACTCCCAGAGTATTGTTCCATGCATTAGCTTCTATTTTTCAAAAGTCTCAACTGCTTGGAGTTAAAATGGTCTTTAGAACAGTCAAACCGTGCTATAGAGATGTGTATTGATATGGATCTTGGTTTACTGATACAAATTTAAGGTCGATTTTGTTATATGTATATTTCTGCTCTTTTTTTAATTTATTTTTTCTAAAAATATGGAATGCTTCAAGAATTTGCATGTCATCCTTGTGCAGGGGCCATGCTAACCTTCTCTGTATCGTTCCAGCCTTGGCATACATGCTGCCGAAGCAAGCACGTTTCTGCTCTTTTTTTTTTAAAATATTTATTTATTATGTATACAATATTCTTTCTGTGTGTATGCCTGAAGGCCAGAAGAGGGCACCAGACCTCATTACAAATGGTTGTGAGCCACCATGTGGTTGCTGGGAATTGAACTGCTTTGGAAGAGCAGGCGATGCTCTTAACCGCTGAGCCATCTCTCCAGCCCACGTTTCTGCTCTTGATTAAGGTATTGTGATTGTGCAGCTCATTTAAAAATGTAATGTATAATTAAAAATATAGGTTAATAGATAGTCGTCTATAATAGTCAAGATTGTAGTCATGTTAGTTAGATTTTCTAGGAGTACAGCGATGTATTTCAGATGGATAGGTATTCTTCAAATCTTTCAGAGATCTTGAGAATATGACATTTAAATATTTTAAGAACTTAAGACTTTTCATGACAATAAGACACATCTGCTCCTGGCAGCACCAATCTACTTCAAGAGGAAGATGGGCATCAAAGAAGATCCTTATGGAGTTGGTTAGCCATTTGGGCAAGAAACTGCTCTTGCCTGGACTGCTGAACAGGACATGCAGGACCTACTGAGAAATGACTGCTGAACTCACCGAAAGGTGAGATGATCCTTCAGGGTTCCTGCTTCATGAAAGAGTCTGCCAGACATTCTGCAGGAAACAGAAGAAAATGACTGAAAAACTGCCAATATAGGTGGAACTGTCTTTGAGATTTCCTGCTTCATGAAAGTCTGCCGGATACTATGGGCCTGTAGGCTGAAGATGGATGCCCCAGTGGCACAAAGGAACTTTGGGTGACTGTCTAGGCAGTGAGATGTCTCTGTCAATTCTAGAGTTTTGGAAGTTGCTTACAATGTACTTCCTGTTTACTTAGGTAATATTATATCCTTCTGGAGTCTTTGATGGAGTTGAAGAATAGATAGTTATTATTATAGCTTTCCTTAGTTATGATGAAAGATAAAGTAGATATAAATAAATATTGTAACTGCAATTCTTGCTTGACAACTGTTTTGTTATATGTAATTTTACTATGTTAAAGTTAAAGCCTTCCTTTTTGTTTAAACAGAAAAGGGGAAATGGTGTGGGAGGTCCTTCTATGTGTTGCTTTTATTGGTTAATAAATAAAGGAACTGCTTTGGGCCTAGGAGGGTAAAACTAAACAGAATGCTGGGAGGAGGAAGGTGGAGTTAGAGAGAAGCTATGGAACTGCCGGAGGCAGACATGGTGAAATTTTGCTGGTAGGCCGCAACCTCATGGTGATATACAGATGAATAGAAATGGGTTAAATCAATGTGTAAGAGTTAGTCAATAAGAAGTTAGAGCTAATGGGCCATGCAGTGATTTATTGAATACAGTTTCTGCTAGCTGGGCGGCCCGGAAGAACAAGCAGCTCCTCCCCCTTTAAAACCATGTGTTACAAGGTCCAGACAAAGTCTGAACACAGAGTTCTGATGCCACTCAACACATGCTTGTTTTCTCTCCTCCCTCTCCTCCTAGGATCCTGGAAGCTACCCCTAGCTAAATGACACCCCAAATCACAGACTCCTCCCAGGGTACAGCTTTTAGCCTGTTAATTCTGGGTTCATTCATTTCCACAGTTCTGATTCCAAGGAGGAAAGGTCCCCAACACACCAGGCTCTTGGCTCTCACAGCAGGTGTGTGCTTAGGACAGGCACAACCAATAACAGTATCAGCAGGGCAGTGGACCAAGGGAACCATCCTGGAGGATGCAGGAAGCCCAGTGTGGCAATGCATCCCTGTGTTTGTCCCCTCACACCTCTTCTTATGAACATAGGGGAGAACATGCTAAATCCACACAGAACTCTCTATCCCCCTTTTCAACTATTCTGTGTCCCACACAGGGTTCTGGACCAAATCAAATCCTAATACTTATATGACAAGCACCTTACCAACTGACCCATCTTCCCAGCCTCTAAGTGATTTTTAAAAATCTATAAATGAATTTCTTTTCTTTTTGGTATATTTTTATAGTAGAATATATTTATTGTATAAAAAAAGTGAATTTCGTATGATATCTTCATACATATCGGTGACATATCTGTCTCCATCCCCATTGCTTACCCCCCCCCACTGGTCTCCTTCCTCTTTCCAAATTCTAAACATTTGTTATTGTTTTAAATACACAAGCACACACACACAGAGTACACACACAATGTGCACTCATGCATTTGATCACACATGTGCACTCAAGCATGTGTGCAATGGACACATGAACACATACAATGCAAAGGAACCAGAGTACACCAATCCACACCCTCTAGGACCATTACCAAAAACAAATTACACACTTATAAGATTTTAAAACCAAATTCATCTTTGTTTGTTTGTGTTCTCCTGTTGGTTTTTTAGACAGGGTCTCTCTATTTAGTCCTGGCTGTTCTGGAACTTGCTCTGTAGACCAGGCTGACCTAGAACACACTGAGATCCCTCTGCCTCTGCCTCCGGAGTGCTGGGATTAAAGGTGTGTGCCCCATGCCTGGCCCACCAATTCATTTTAAATTCACTATTAAAACTGTCTTTCTCTATAACCCTTAGAAGCCAGTGTTTCAGAAAAGGACAAAAATGTTTGCCCCAGGGCATTTTTGTGACAGTAGATCTGTGGACACCTACCACGACACAATGTCACTGTAAAGGGACTTCAAATCTAGATCCAAACAACAAACTGCCTGTTGGCTGAACTCTCGGACGCTACACACCTGGAGGCGCTCTGTATCGCCCACACCCACCACAAGCGCCCACACTTGCTGTACATTTGCTTTAGAAAACATTAGAATGACTCAGGCGTGGTAACGCATGCTTGTATCCCAGATCGCAAGGCTGCGTCAGCAGGACTGGGAGTTCAAGACCAGCTTGTGCTGCATGACAAGCCCCGGTCTCAAAAGATGAAGAAGAAGAACAAAAGCAGTAAGAGGGCTATGATCACTAGCGACATTCCAACTATGGTCAGTGCCATGGCCCTTGTAGCCCCCGCCCCATCTTGGGGATCAGTCAGCTCTGTGCAGGTATGTGCCCTGTGTGCCCTGTTCCGGGGCTATCCTCAAAGGCTGTTCACTCTCTGTTCCCATCAGACCACATGCATTGCCAAGGCTTGACACTTCCCTCCCTCTTGGCCACCCCCCTTCCACTGCACACCAACACTGAATGTTCACACTGAAGGCAGTGGCCATCAGTTGAAGGACCACCATAAACGGCTCACTGTCTTCCACACGTGTGTTTCCATTTGTTACTTTAGAGAGGATTTTTTGTTTGTTTGCTTGCTTGCTTGCTTGCTTGCTTGCTTGCTTAAAGAAGTGTTTTCTTCTTGCTGTGACTTGGAGCTTTCCTGCCTGAGGTTTTCTTTTAAACTCTAAATTGACCATAAGCTTTAGAATAAAAGTGTCTATATGTGATTAATCTGGAGAATTCCTTTCTTCCTTCTTCTCTTTCTTTCTTTCTTTCTTTCTTCCCCCCTCCCCCCTCCCTTTTTTCCCCCTATGTAACACCCCTGGCTATCCTGGAACTCCCTTTGTAGATCGGGCTGGTCTCAAACTCATAGACCCACCAGCTTCTGCCTCCCAAGAGGATCTCTTTCTTACGATGTTTTAAGGTCGAAAAAGCCATGTTCACACTGGTTTACAGCTTCTAACGAACAGATTAAAATCACTTCCACCTACATAAAAGCCTGTTTTATCCCTGCCAAGCAGGGAGCAGAGTTCAATCTCCATGGTGCTTTCAGACCAGCTTGTCAAGCTTCTTGGATTTAATGACACGGCCTTTAAGACACAGTGCCCACACTAGAGTAAAGCAATCACTTCAGAACTGTTCTGTTCACTGGACTGGACTTCCACTTTTTTTTAAAATAGTAGATAAAAAAGGGAGGTGGGTATCTATGAATGGCAACATAAGAAGAATCTTTAGCATAGTCTCTGGTACCCAGCAGCAAATCGAAAGATTAGATTCTCCATTTGCCTCTTGTTTTCTTTAATCACCGAGATACATAACTCTTAAAACAACAAAAGACTCTTCAGTTTATTTATATAGTTTGAGAATCAAAAAATAACTGGCATTATTACCACTTTAATGAGGCAACGTATATTCTATATTCATTCATTTTTAACCACAGGAGTAATTCAGTCTATCTATTTTTTAAAGCAAAGAGGGTCCATTTGCTTAGACATTTGTTAGCTGTTGGCTCTTGTGTCTAAGTCACTTGTGTTTTAGGAACTGGCTCATGGTCACATCAAATGAATAGGTTGAGAACCAGAAACTCTCAATTGTGAGAGTTTAATATCAGAGTTCACAGGGGCAACCCTATATCCCTATATCCAACCCTATATCCAAATGGTAGCCATTGTCACCATTAACAGTGCTTCTTATGGGACTTTCATCCACTTCTCTGGTCTTCTGTGCACAGGCTTGCTCTTCCCCCCCCCACCCATGGAGTCTTGTCAGCTGGTCCTTCAGACAACCATACAGAACATGCAAAATGTTCTACGCTTTCTATACAAAACGCTAAATGGTAGAGCCCAGAACAGCGGTCGCACTTCCAGCGTCGGAGGGATAGAAAGTACGTCCTTCATAGCTATCTGTTTGAGAATTTACACGCATTACAGCTCTGACAGACCTTCCACTGTTTGAACCGACTGGCTTCCTTGAGAGAGGAGCATGTGCGCTAACAGCAGAAACACTCCGTTAATTCTTGGGTTAACCGAAACACACTCTGGCTTTGGCATCATTCCCAACAGCTGGTGCTTTGGCCCCCAGATTAAGGGTCACTGCTGTGTGGGCCTCCTCAGGAGGGGCGCAGCCACAGACCAATTTGGAAGGAGCCACTGGAGGGCTTTGTCCTCAGCAGATCATTTACAAGATTAGTAACAAAGAGTCGTGACCTTTTCTGAACGCTTTGGGGACTTCTAACCCTCGTGAGAGCCTGGAGTAGCAAGGCTTGTGCTGAATAGCCGAGGAAAATGGAAACAGATTTGTTATGAACCTGGAATTAAC